AATCAACTACGTGAGTTAATTCAGTTGTTCTAATCACTTTGCCACCAGCTATGTTTGCATACAGCGACAGCTTATTGGGGCCCCCGCTACGTGTTTTATCTGTCTTCCCGACAAGCCCTGGTGAGACCGTGCACTTCAAAAGGAAAAAAGGAAAAAAAAAAAAAGAAAGAAAAATCAGGAGCCAAGACACAGCCAAGAACGACAAGACTTAGCTGTGCTCACCTGAGAACTTCTCCTTAGCATCAGCTAATGAACTTGAGCAGCAGATCTGCTCCGTGGGATCCATCCCATACCTAACACTCCCAGGACGAAGGCAGATCAGCAGCTTTACGTACCTCCAAGGAAAACAGCAAATCACCTGCTCGCGCAGGGACGTGCCTTGGGAAGCAGCGCACACCAGGAGTCTCTCTCCTTCCAGCATCATTTATAGACCCACCTTTAAACAAAAGCCACTAAGTTGCATGCCTTTATGTACTGTGGGCATACGCATTTAGCATATTGGACTGCGCAAGGGCTCAAATACCTTGTGGGTACACTGGTATTGGAGGGAACTGGATTTATCCCTGCATCCCAAGGGAAAGGACCAAGTATTGCCACAGCAGTGCCAGTTAGTGACTGTATTTAATACTCTGATCCAAGTGCAGTGCCTGGTGTTTCTGGAGAGGCGTCTGCAGCCCAGACGTCTCCTGTTCACTGCAGCCATCCTAGAGAAACACCGTCGCAGCCTCTAGCCAGAAAGCCCTTCTTGCAGACTTGGAGATGCCAGATGCTTTCTACAGCAGCTTCCGCACCAAGTCAGATCAACGTCCTGCATGCAGGATGGAGGTAATCACCATGTAAATGCCCTCCTTTGTGTGGTTTTTCTATCATGGGCCAAGGCCAGTGTCAGCTTTCCCAATTCGTGGCGGGGTATCATGGCCGGTGGGATGAGCGGAGAGCCATGCTTACTGCAACAGCCACCATCCCAAACGCTGACAGAGGTGCTATCAGTATTAGTGCCACTGTCTTCGCCTTGATTATTTGTGTCGTCACCCAGACAGCAATGGGAGGCTTAGGTTTTCGTACAAGAATGGGACAACCTTAGAGACGGGACTAGCAGACCTCAGAGACCACGATCAGCACTGCAAAATCAATGATCCCACACCTCACCTAATGTCCTCTTCTGGGACCTCAACAACTGGAAGCAGAAAAAAATTACAGACCTCAATATTTCAGCTGATGGCAAGATGTCTGAGCCAAAGTAAGGCAGACATGGAAAAGCAAACAATTGTAGTATATATCAAACAAGGTTATTTATAGAAGAGAAAAGGAAGTTTTGATGCCTTTATATGAGGCTCTGGTAAAATTTCATCTAGACTATTTTGTGTAGCTGTGGTCATGCAAACATAAGAAAAATAAACTCAAGCTGGAAGAGGTGCGGAAGACAGCTGCAAAGATGAGGAGCAGAGAAGAAAGCTTATTTTATGAAAGAGACTAAAGAGGCTGGCTTGCTTAACCAAAGAAAATCAAGACAGGGGAATATGCCTGTCACTTATAAATACATAAAGGAAGTAAATATTATGAAGGTAGAATTGATTTAAGCTAAAGGGCAGCACATATAAATATTTCTAGCCATCTCTAAATTTAGGCTAGAAGCTGCATTTTTAATCAGAGCAGCCAGATTCTGGAGCAGCTTCAAATGGAAGTGGCAGGAACAGGAAATCCACCTGGTCTTTGGTCAGAGCACGATCTGTTCTTCACAACAGGACACAGCTGAGAGGTAATGGGTCAGACGGCACACGGTCTTCAGTGGAAACGGGGTAAGAACATCGTCAGCCATTGATGACTGATCGTGGTGAGGGTACCAGCGCCAACGCCCCCGGTTATCCTGCTCCCAGCCAGCGTCTGCCAGGAGCTAGTGGGAACCTGCACACCTTCGCACTACCTGCGAAGTGCATGGCAAGGGTTTGTACAATATGCGGAGATCGGACGTTTTAACCAAACTCTTGTAAAAATGCCAAGGTTTTGTTGTCAAATGCGGCAAAAAGGGCTGCAAGGTGCCAAGCTGCTGTTAACCCTTTTGGGAAGGCACAGCAGAGTTTTCATTTCCAAGATCCCTTCAGTCACCAGGAGAACAATCTTGCAGCGAGCAGCCTTGCTGTAGTGAGGAAGCTACAAGACAGCATCTGGACTGAACTGCCACCAAATTCAACAGCTGAAATACCTGCAAAGCTGCAGCCGCCCTTCAGAGGACACATTAATGCCTGACCAAGGCACCCGCTCAGCAAGACAAGATTTCTAATTGCCAGCCATGAGTTACTACGGCCACAAAGCCTTGCTGGCAGCTGGCTCTGCGCAACACAGAAAAGAGACCCTGAAAATTAAGACACAAAGTAGTTTTTTAACTACTTTTCTGCGTGTCCACCTTTGCATCTTGCATCTTTGCGTTAGAATAAACTTGCTTTTGTATTTAGCCATAAAATCTCACCTGTTCTTGAGCAGCTCGGGGGTGGCAGGGAAACACTGGCGACTGCTCCCAGGAGCACATACCTGATTACGCACAGAGCCCACTATCTGTGCAGGAGTGCGTGCCTGCGAGGCACTCCTCCGCCACGCTGCAGATGCCTGGCGTTGTTTCCATCCCACAACCAAGT